TGTATCGGAGGCTGCATGAAGACGATTTGCGAACCGAGAGCGCCTTTTATTTTAAAGCCACGCTTCTTATTCTTTACATTTCTCTCAGTTCGCCCAGAAGTTCAAGAGTGAGATAAACAATAAGTACATCCCCACTCCCCCACCTCAAGATTTTCTTGCCTGTATTGAATTGCAAATCCAGAGTGACATAATGAAGAAACCTGCAGAGCAAGATTAGCTTTCTGGCACTAACTATTTATAGGGATAAATTATCAGGTAATTTCCAAAGGGAATGCAGAACACAAATTAGGGGGAATGAATGCAAGCTTCCCACAGGAGGGCACTTGACTCTGGGCATTGAAGAAATCTAAAGAATCAGAAGTGATTACTAGAGAGAACGGTAAGTTGGGCTTTACGCTTGGCCTCCAGGCAGGTGTATAATTAACTATTCTCACCCTTCTTTTTTTTTGTTTCTCTTTTTCTTTTTGGTATCTAGTTTCCATACTTTTTCCCTTTTAATGCCTTTGGGTTTTTTTGTTTTTGTTTTTTTTTTTGGCACAGCGCGTCTCACTTTGTGTCGGCCAGGCTAGAGTTGAGTGCACTGGCGTCAGCCTGCTCCAGAAATCGCTCCAATTCCTGGGCTCAAGCATCCTCTGGCCTCAGCCTCCTTCTTGAGTAGCTGGGATACAGGCATGCGCCACCACGCCGGCTTCATTTTTTCTATACATATTGGTGTGCCAATTGTAGTTTCTTTTTTCAATTTATAGGTATGAAGAGCGGGGGGTCTGCGGGCTCTTGCGTCAGGCTGGCTCGAACCCCTGACCGCTCCGAGCGATCTCCCGCCTTCGGCTGCCCAGAGTGCTGGGATGGCAGGCGTGAGCCACCGCCCGCCCGGCCTCATCGCTGTCCATTCTTGCACATTAAATCCCACAAGGGGATTTATTGACAGCATTAAATCACTTTCCCCTTTTCTGGGCTGCCGCTTACATTTTTTTAACTCATGCTTGACATATTCATCGCACACCGAGAGCCTAATGCCGAGTGTTTTATGGCCTTTTGCAGGACGAGTCTTGGAACGCTCCAACTGCAAGCTGTGCTTGTTCCGGCTTCCGGGCGGAGGGCTGGCCAGAAGCGTGCTCTTCGTTGTGGACAGAGCGCGGCCCGAACAGGGAGGTCGGGCTGCTGGAAAAGTGTCAACGGGCGAGGGCCTGAATGGAACAGAACTGTACACAGCGTGCAAGGCTGCGGGTCAGGGAGGTAGGGGTGGGGAGTGATGAGCAGTTGGGTGCAAAATCTGTTTGCTTCTCAGAAGGAGAAACACGCCCTACTTACTGTCTGTCAGCGAATGCGCAAAACAGAGACAATTTGGGGGCGCCGGCGAGTTTTGGACTGTTTGGCAAAGCTGTCTGTGCAGGCTGTTTTTGCAGCTGTTCCCGAGCAGGTGAAGTCAGCGCGGGGCTGCTATTGGCATCTTAGTGGCGTAAAAAGATCAAGATCGCATCGGAACACACTACTGCAGCAACAGCCCGCATAAGAGACGATTGAGCCCTAGGCTCGGGCGGCGGTGCTCCGCGCCTGTCCATCGCAGCACTGCTGGGAGGCGAGGCGGGGAGGATCCTTGAGCTCAGGACTCTGGAGACGCGAGCCTGAGGGCACGGCGAGACGCCCCGTCTCTACTAAAAAGAAAATAGAAAAGAAATTCAATTTGGCCACTAGAAATATATACTGGAGAAAAAACAGCCGGGCTGGTGCCGCATGCCTTTGTATCAGCTAGCTTGGGAGGCTGAAAGGCACGGAGGATTCGCTCTGCAGGTCAGGAAGCCTGAGACGCCACCCTGAGAGAGCGAGGCCCATGCTCCTACTAACATACGAAGAAATTAATTGCATCTAAAAAACGTATAGACAAAAATCAGGCCGTGCATGGTTGCGGCATGGCTGTAGTCCGCGCAGCTACTCGGAGGCTGAGCCAGCGAAGGATCATCAAGGTGCAGGAGTCTGAGACCGCGTCTCTACTAAACGAAAAATAGAAGGAATTAATTGGCCACTAAAAAATATATGAGAGGAAGAAAAAGAACAGCCAGGCATAGTGGGCGCATGCTGTAGTCTCAGGCTACTCGGGAGGCTTGAGGCAGGACGGATCGCTGAGCCCCAGGAGTTGGAGGTTGCTTGTGAGCGAGGCTGAACGCCACGGCACTTCCTCTACGCCCTGGCGACGCAGAGGTGAGACTGCTGTCTCAAGAAAAAAAAAAGAAAGAGAATGACTGCCCGCCAACACGGGGCACGGAAGCAAAGTAGAGAAACCCTATAGACACGCGCTTCCACATGCCGCTTGCTTTACTCTTGAATTGCTCTGCCTCTTTACACGGCAACTGTTTCTTGAACACACTAAACAAACAGACCAGAAGAGAGCACGCCCCCGAAGGTTCCCCGATTAGGTGTTCGAAGACTCCAACTTTTGACACTCTCCAACCACCCACTTTTTCAAAGGCACCTCGATGGGAAAATTGCAAGATGGGGCATGCCTTTAAATGACACAGTTTGGCCGGCGGCATGTGGGCTCACGCCTGAATCTTAGCTCTTGGGAGGCCGAGGCGGCGGATTTGCTCGGTCAGGAGGTTCAAACGCAGCCTGGAGCAAGAGCGACTAAGACCGTCTCTACTATAAATAGAAAAGAAATTATGTGCCAACTGATATATATATAACAAAATTAGCCCGGGCATTGGTGCGGCAGCTGTAGTCCCAGGCTACTCAGGAGGCTGAGGCAGGAGGATCGCTTGAGCCCAGGTGAGTTCTTTGTGAGCAGGCTGAACGCCACGGCACTCCTCTAGCCTGCGCAACAAAGCGCGACTCTGTCGCTCAAAAAAAAAAAAAAAAAAAAAAAAAAAATTACAAAAAATAAAAATGACAGCAGGTTTTATAGGGACTGTGGCAAACATGTACATGCTGGTCAGGTGTGGCGAGAACCAAGCCACCCCAGGAAGCCGTGCTGCTCTGCACCAATCCGGATACAAATCCACTTGTTCGCCACCGGAATAAACCCGCCCAATTTCCTTAAGCAAATAAGGCCCTTTCCATCAGCACAAGGTGGAAGAAAAGGTGAAAAGGAACTTCTGTCCTTTTGCAAAGAACCAAAACATTAAATATAAGCAGGAATAACTGATAAGAAAGACTCGAGACCCACTTAGGGAAAATCAAAATCATCCTGATTCAGCCTAAAAGGTAGCTGGAAGTTATAAGAGCGCTAATTAACGTTGGATATTTAACAGTGTTTTAAAATTTTATGTCGGCCTTCACTTTACAACAAAATTCCATTTAAACCGTATTTGTAGAGCGCTCTGCAACGCTATTTAAATTCACCTATATTTGTGGCGCGCTTTATAATTTATGAAGTGCATTCACATACGTGATCTCACTGGAGCCCTAAATAATTCTGAGAAAAAGGGGGTGGCAGGTATTACAATTCTTGATTTACACGGATGAAAACACAGGTTTTAATCCTCCGTCTAGGTCCTCTCGGTTTAACTGAGGCTCAGAGGCACAGGAGTTTTACAAAATTGGATTAGGAGGGAGCGGGTACGAACAGCCAGTTCAGTTCTCCAACGCCCGGTGACTCCAAAGAGCAGACAGGTCACAGCGTCTCTGAGCCCGAAAGACTGAAGAGGTGGGAGAGGAGAAACACACCCCACCTCTAGGTGGACGGAACGTCAAAGAATTCACGGGCAAGGCCGGGCGCGGCGGCTCACGCTTGTCATCCCAGCACTCTGGGAGGCCGAGGAGGGAGGATCGCTCGAGGTCAGGAGTTCAAAACCAGCCTGAGCAAGAGCGAGACCCCGTCTCTACTAAGAAAATAGAAAGAAATTAGCTGGGAAACCGAAAAAAAACCCACATATATATGAAAAAAGTTAGCCGGGCGTGGTGGTCCATGCCTGTGGTCCCAGCTACCCGGGAGGCTGAGGCAGGAGGATCGCTTGAGCCCAGGAGTCTGAGGTTGCTGTGAGCGAGGCTGACGCCACGGCACTCACTCTAGCCCGGGGAACACAGTGAGACTCTGTCAGAAGAAGGAAGAAGGAAGAAGAAGGAGGAGGAAGAGGAAGGAGGAGGAAGAAGGAAGAAGGAGGAGGAGGAGGAAGAAGGAAGAAGAAGGAGGAGGAGAACGAGGAGGAGGAGGAGGAAGAAGGAGAAAGAAGGAGGAAGAAGGAGGAATAGGAGGAGGAGGAAGAAGGAGGCAGAGGAGGAAGAAGGAAGAAGAAGGAGGAAGAAGGAGGAGGAGGAGGACGAGGACGAGGAGGACGAGGAGGAGGAGGGGAGAAGGAGAAAGAAGGAGGAAGAGGAGGAGGAGGAAGGAAGGAGGAAGAAGAGGAAGAAGAAGAAGGAAGAAGAGGAGGAGGAGGAAGAGGAAGAAGAAGAGGAAGAGGAGGAAGAAGAGGAAGAAGAAGAGGAAGAGGAGGAAGAAGAGGAAGAAGAAGAAGAGGAAGAGGAAGAGGAGGAAGAAGAGGAAGAGGAAGAAGAGGAAGAAGAAGAAGAGGAAGAGGAAGAAGGAGAAGAGGAAGAAGAGGAAGAAGAAGAAGAGGAAGAAGGAGGAGAAGGAGGAGAATTATCATTACTATTGGCGGGCGTCTCCAGTCTGCCGCGTTCTGAAGCTGTCCTGCAGTCTGAGCGCTGACCGAGCCCCCGAGGCCGCCCTGCCCGCCCCCAGCGCGACCCTCCCCAGAGACACGGTCCTGCCAGCAGACACCGCACACCAGAGAGGGCCGGTGTGGACGGCGCCCAGCAACCCCGGGTGGCCCCGCGTCCTCTGTGGACTCACGGCTGCCTCTGACCCTTGTGGCTCCAGCTACCATTTCCCTGCCAGCGGCCTTGGCCCAGCTCCAGACCAGGCGTCCCCAGGGGTGTCCCCGTGGGCACCTGTGAGTTCCATGCACCCCAATGGAGCCCACCCCGCCCTGCTGTCCCAGCGGGCAAGGAGACACCACCCTCCTGCCACTCTGCGGCCGGGCATCATCTCCCACCTCCTCCTTCACCTCCCTGCAGCCAGTCGCCCAGCACGGCCGGGGGTCTCCCTGCTGATGCCCCGTTTCCCCGAAAATCACCCCGGCAGGATGTCCAAGCATGTGCGCAATAGAAGCCCTACCCCGAAAATAAGCCCTAGTGCTGGGCGTGGCTATGAAAATAAGTCCTAGTGCTGGGCGTGGCTATGAAAATAAGCCCTAGTGATGGGCGTGGCTATGAAAATAAGCCCTAGTGATGGGCGTGGCTATGAAAATAAGCCCTAGTGATGGGGCGTGGCTATGAAAATAAGCCCTAGTGCTGGGCATGGCTATGAAAATAAGCCCTAGTGATGGGCGTGGCTATGAAAATAAGCCCTAGTGAGGGGCGTGGCTATGAAAATAAGCCCTAGTGCTGGGCATGGCTATGAAAATAAGCCCTAGTGGTGGGCGTGGCTGTGAAAATATGCCCTGGTGATGGGCGTGGCTATGAAAATAAGCCCTAGTGATGGGCGTGGCTATGAAAATAAGCCCTAGTGGTGGGCGTGGCTATGAAAATACGCCCTGGTGGTGGGCGTGGCCATGAAAATAATCCCTAGTGGTGGGCGTGGCTATGAAAATAAGCCCTAGTGATGGGCGTGGCTATGAAAATAAGCCCCGGTGGTGGGCGTGGCTATGAAAATAAGCCCCAGTGCTGGGCATGGCTATGAAAATCAGCCCTAGTGCTGGGCGTGGTTATGAAAATCAGCCCTAGTGCTGGGCGTGGCTATGAAAATAAGCCCTAGTGCTGGGCGTGGCTATAAAATAAGCCCTAGTGCTGGGCGAGGCTATGAAAATAAGCTCTAGTGATGGGCGTGGCTATAAAATAAGCCCTAGTGCTGGGCGTGGCTATGAAAATAAGCCCTGGTGATGGGCGTGGCTATGAAAATAAGCCCTAGTGATGGGCGTGGCTATGAAAATAAGCCCTAGTGATGGGCGTGTCTATGAAAATAAACCCTAGTGATGGGCATGGCTATGAAAATAAGCCCTAGTGATGGGCGTGGCTACGCAGTGCATCTGCACAACCCATGCATGTCGTCGCAGAGCGGGAAAGAACACGAGCAGCCCTTCTCATCTGCCCCGTGAGAGCGCTAGTGCTCCACATGAGAGATCGGGGCCGATGGATCTAAAGGAAATAGAGTTGCAAGACATTCAGGATGGAATTCGGGGTTTGGAGAGTGAGGATGATGTTCCAGAAGAAGACGACTCCACTCTATTTGAATCAATGTAGACTGTTGTACCGTACTTAAAAAAAAAAATAACACATCCCCTGAAAATGAGCCCTAGGGTGTCTTCTTGAGGAAGAATAAATACAAGACCCCGTCTTATTTCCGGGGAAACACGGTAGTCACTCACCCTTTTCCGCTGTCCTACTTCACAGACTTCTAGGCTCTTCTTGCTATTTCCCCTGCGATACACAGTGACCTTCTAAAATCCAAATATGATTATGTCACTTCCCATCTTAGGTGGAAGTCACACCGCTGAGGACAAAATCTAAATCCCTTAACATGATGTATAAATTTTGTCCTTGTGTGATTTGATTTAAAGACACCAAACGCCCTCCCGCCCTACACACTTCTGTCTCTGGCATTGCCAATAAAATGTCTGCATGGCCCATTCTCTCCAGCTCGGTCACTGAAGTCTTGTTTTTTTTTTTTTTTGGTTTTTTTTGAGACAGAGTCTCACTGTGTTTCCCAGGCTAGAGTGAGTGCCGTGGCGTCAGCCTCGCTCACAGCAACCTCAGACTCCTGGGCTCAAGCGATCCTCCTGTCTCAGCCTCCCGAGTAGCTGGGACTACAGGCATGCGCCACCATGCCTGGCTAATTTTTTCTATATATATGTATCTTTAGTTGTCTGGCTCATTTCTATTTTTTGTAGAGACGGGGTCTGGCTCTTGCTCAGGCTGGTCTCAAACTCCTGACCTTGAGCGATCCGCCTGCCTCGGCCTCCCAGAGTGCTGGGATGACAGGCGTGAGCCACCGCGCCCGGCCTTAAAAGTTTTTTTTTTTTAACTGTCATCTTTTTTATACAATTTCAAACAATCCACATTTACTGATCGGTGTTGCCATTAAATGTTAGTAAGATATTTTCGAAAAGTTTCCATATGCGTCCAGGTTTAAAAAGTACCTGATATGGGGAGTGCAGTCCAGCTTTAAACACAAAAGTCTCGTTTTCTGTCACTCGAGTTTATTTTTTTTTTCTAGACTTCTGCGATATGCATTGCATGCTTATCTTCCTCGGAGAAACAATTCCCCGGGCGCTGCTGTGTCCACCTGCATTGTGTTATCTTTTAATTAACCCGTGTGGCCTTTTTTTTACTTAACCTAGTTTGAGAAGTGACAGCCACTGGGCTGTCTAAATAATGCATGCTGCTGCTCTTCCATTGGATCTATCCAATCAAAACAATAGTTCCTGGTGTGTGTTCCCAGCTCTGCAGGGCAGTCATGCTTGCTGCTCAGCCCCCGGCCTTGCCATGAACATCAGGGTTGCAACTCGCCTTGCTAACCGGAGTGCTTAGGATTGTTTCAATATACAAAACACAGAGCGATCTGCTATGTCCCTTGCTCGTGTTTCCCTGCAAAATCCATTCTGCAACTCTGCTTTAAAACCTTTCCATCAACTTAGAATACCCAGCACTGTGGACATGGGGGTGGGAGGGGGTAGTTGCATGCTCACACGTCTACTCACCACCGAAAACTCAGCACCGGCCCACGAGGCTGAATCGGAAGAACGGGGACAGACGGTCTGGGGAGGAGGAAAGAGAATTTTCACCACTTTGCGGGCAGAGGAGGGAAAACGGCAGACCGTCTGGCCTCACAATCCAAATTTCTTGCACATAGGCAGAAAGACAGAGCTTTGAAAGGGAGGGCCCCTCAGTCTTGGTGACTGTGGTTATTTTAATCTTCCCACCTTTGCCAAAGACTAAACGTGGGGACCTTTCCAGGCACCCACTTGGGGAGGTGGGGTCGCCGGTGCTGCCTGGGATAAGAGCAAAGGCAACCACTGGCTTGAGGCAGGGATGCAGTTTCAGTTCTCAAAACAGAGTGGGGGAAATTGCAAAGAGACAGAAAAGGCCGGGCACGGTGGCTCACGCCTGTAATCCCAGCACTCTGGGAGGCCGAGGCGGGAGGATCGCTCGAGGTCAGGAGTTCGAGACCAGCCTGAGCAAGAGCGAGACCCCAACTCTACGATAAATAGAAATAAATTAGCCAAACGACTAATAACAGAAAAAAAAAGCCGGGCATGGTGGCGCATGCCTGCAGTCCCAACTGCTCAGGAGGCTGAGGCAGGAGGATGGCTTGAGCCCAGGAGTCTGAGGTTGCTGTGAGCGAGGCTGACGCCACGGCACTCACTCTAGCCCAGGCAACAGAGTGGGACTCTGTCTCAAAAATAATAATAATAATATTCGGTAGTTACAATGAATCCAACTGTCTAACAACAAGAGATTGACTCAATGAAATATCTGTAGAAATTTAAAATGTTGGTGTAGGCCGGGCGCGGTGGCTCACGCCTGTCATCCTAGCACTCTGGGAGGCCGAGGCGGGTGGATTGCCCGAGGTCAGGAGTTCGAAACCAGCCTGAGTGAGAGCAAGACCCCGTCTCCACTAAAAACAGAAAACAAGTTAGTTGACCAACTAAAAAAAACAATATATATATATATATATAAAATGAGCTGGGCGTGGTGGCGCATGCCTGTAGTCACAGCTACTCGGGAGGCTGAGGCAGGAGGGATTCGCTTGAGCCCAGCGCAGTTGGGAGTTGCTTGAGCAAGGCTGACGCCACGGCACTCACTCTAGCCTGGGCAACACAGTAAGACTCGTTTAAAAAACAAACAAAAAGCACACACACACACACACACACACACACACACAAAATAAATAAATAAATAAAAGGAACAATAATAACAGATAAAACCTTGCCTGTCTGAATGTGTTTCTAGTGTTCAGATATAAAAGGAAAGTGAAGTAACCTAGAGAAGATGTAAAAAAAAAAAAAACCTTTTGGGAGCATTGCTTCAATAAATAAGAGCCTTTCTGTATTAATTATTGAGTAGAAATGATGGGAAAGATAATGGGGAGAGAGGTAGACACAAGAGCAAAGAGTCACCGTGCAACTGGCCATAATATCCCGACTTGAGCCCGGGACTTATGAGTGAGGTGTGGCCTCCCAAACCCATGGAACACTGTGCACATTTATCTCTGTCGGATTTCTTTTTTTAATGTGCTGGAGATTGGGGCGTCCTGCCAATGTGCCAGGTATCATTTGCTGATCTTAGCAGTGAACCCTGCCAAGGTAAAGTATCCGAATCGTGGCAGATCACAGAGCAAGCCAATGTGCGCTGAAATGCACTTCGCTACTCCCCGAGATCCAGCGGCTCTCCTTTACAAAGATAAATCTCTCTC